CTGGAAGAGACTATTTCAAAGCTGTCTAAAAAGATCTTTTACCTGCCTAAATGCTAGAATATGTGTTTTCAGTGCATCTGAAAAATAACCAAGGAGGAAAAAGAAGAAAAATAGCATTAATCCAACTTTTGGTTTGACTATGAATTAAGCAAACTTTACTACAAGTTGCTGAGGTCTTGTTGAAGGCACTCTTACATGCAAAGTCTTTGATGTTTCTGAACATGCTGGCAGGGTCAAAAATTTGTGCTGTTACCTCTCATAAATTACATAAATAATATGTTGAGGCTATTTCCATTAAAAAAGGGAAAATAATATGCTGAGATTCTGTCAGAACACTTCTGCTGTACTGTCCTTTTTTTGGTGAGAGTACTGATGGTGAAGGGATGTTGTAGACAGTGAGTGTCAAAAAGATGTGTTAGCATGTTATTAGGATAGAAATTGGCTTACACCCAGATGCCTGCCTTATGGATCTTAGAAGATCAATGGATGGGCAAGAAAGCAAGAATGTGAAATACAAGTGTGTGCTCGTGTGTGGTTTGCCTGACATTGCCCTCATCTCCTGTGACTTCCTGGGTGGTTTGCTGAAAAGCTGTGCCCAAGGCCAATTAAAAACCCACCAGCCCAGGGAGAGTTCCATTGCAGAAGGGTCAGCAGCAATTCCAGCCTTGAAGTTAGATGCTCGGGTCTGTGTTCAGGTCTATTGATAAATTTTAATTTAATTTAATAGTAGTCTTTTGCTGCACCTATTTAGTGTGTCATTCTAACGCCTCAGGACTCCAGTGGTTCAAGGTGGTTTAAAGGCTCCCAGTTGCTTGTGTTGGTGGCCTGGCACTATATTGTCCTGGCCAGGTGGGTAGGCAGTGGCCCAGATTGAGATAGGCAGCAGTGATCACACTGAGTTTGCATTGATCAGTTGCTTCTCTCTTGTGTCAGAGCAGTATTATTGTTTGCTGTTTGATCTGTAGTAGAACCCAGAGGCTGGAAATGCTGGTGGAGTTTGGTAGCACCAAGAGGAGGAGAAGGACAAGGAGAAGGAGGAGGAAATGCCTTCCCCATAGAACCTACAGCCCCAGCTCCCTTGCTTAACTGCAGGGAAAATAAAATTAATGTTTATGGTTGATGAAAATGCCCTTCTTCTGCAATACCTGCCTTTGGTGGAGGTGTCCAACACCAACCTCTGCCAGGATAAATTTCAGAGACCAAAAAGAAAACCCAAATTTGCCAAAATAAGGGAGACTGTCTTAAGCCAGCCTATTTTTAGAAGATAGTCTGTGGAGAAAACAAAGTCTAATTTAAAACAGCCTTTACTGTTGCAGTAACTTACCATTTCACATGTGACCTTGGGAGTTTGTTAAATCTTGTTAACAGCTTGTGTCCCACTTAGCTTCAAAGTCAAGCCTTTTTCTCCATATCCTGCTATTTTCAAGGCACAACATGAACATCATTATTATTAGGGTGTTCTGCTCTTTAACAGTTATGTTTTGAGAACACTGCTTCAAACAATTTAAGGTCTCTTCGTGGTAACTGTGGGTTCAGTGTTTTTGTGTGTGCTAATCTCCACTTAATCTTTCTTACCACTGCAAATAATATGGAGGAATAGATGCCTTTGCAGAACAGCACAGCTTGGAAATTGTGCTTTATTCATTACTGGCTGTGGAAAAGTCTGTTTTTCCACAAATTGACTTGCATACTCTTTTAGAGATATAAGAGGTTCTCAGATAGCAGCACGGGCTTCCTCCTTAGGAGGCAATTGCATGTTGTATCTATAAAATTCTCTCAAATACTTAGAGTTGATCCATTTGTGGCAAATGAAGTGGGAGGAGGTTTGGTCCTTCCCTGTGAGAGCCTCTACAGTTTGCAAGCTGTATGCCCTGTTTGCAAAGGCTCAGGACAAGAAGCTCACCTCTGGACATGACTCTGCTTCCCTTCCTTAGTGAGCCACTCCCATGGCACTTCAGCAGAGCAGCCAACGGAGCAGCAAATACAGTTGGCTGTAGGACAGAAACCCAACTGACAAGTCCTTGCAGACAGCAGATCCTCAATATATTTTGGTCTTCCACAAGCTGTCACCATTCAGAAGTCATTGGCAGCTGTGCGCCAAAGGATGATCAAGGCTGCAATATTCAAGAATCCATTCCACAAGGGACCATGATGGCAGGGAAGGGAAGCAGCAGCCCCTCTGTGGGGGATGCTATGGGCTCCAATGACAGTTTTGTCCTTGGTTTTGGAGGCTGACAAGGAATTGTGGGATCGGTGAAAGGGTTTGCAGTCTTGAGAGGCTTGTTAAAATGTGTAGCTCTGAACCTTTTCCCACAGTGTGCTGTCATAGGACTGGCTTGGGAAAACAGCTGAGAAACAAGTGGGACCAAGAGCTGGGTGCACCTCAGCTCTGCACATCTCTGCTGCAGCAGGAGCAGCAACAGAAGACAGCTATGGGCAGGGGCAGCACCTTAGGAGCAGCCAGGTGTGCTGCATGGGGCAGCAGTGCTTAAAGGGATCACCATTGCTCAGCTGCCAAGCTCCCTTGCCAGATGGCACCATCTCTACACTGCAGCACTGGAGCAGAGGTGGTGACGAGAGTGTGTGTGAGCATGTGACTGATCAGCAATAAGTTTTTCTTTCTTCCCATCCGTCTCCCTTGTCAGGGTGTGAGCAGACTGTGAGACCTAACAAACCTCAAACCCACTGACAGCAAGTTTGCAGAGCCTCTAATTTCCGCTGTTTACCAGGCAGGTCCCCCGAGCCTCAGTCAAAACCTTGCTGGTGCAAGAGCTCCGTGTCTTCCCACCGTTACTCAACAAACTGCCAGCAGCACCCCCCATCCCCAGACATTTGCATTCAATTACCCTGAATTTAATCACAGAAAGCAAATTTTGCCTGGCCACAACTTTGAAAGGGACAAAAACAAATGCCTCAGGTCACACACTGTTACATCTGATCCTCCCTCCAGATTTACCATGGGATTTTTTTTCTCCACCCCTGTTATGTGGTGTTGGTGTCAGAGTCTCCTCCTGGTCAGATGAATCTCATAAGAAACTTGGTTATTAATCAGATTTTGTGGGGATTTAAGGAAAGTTGCAAACACAAACAGGCAAGCAGGAAGTTCTCACTGTCCTTATGAAGTGACTACCACTGTTTCTCTGTAAAACCACACTTGCATATTTCCTCTGCTGTAACTTCTCATGTCTTTCAAGTTCCCCAGGGGAAGTGAGAAGAAAAAACTTATCAGAGAAACAGATCAGGAGTGAGAGAAATGATAGCTGACGATACTAATGGCACAGTTTAGGGATTTTGGGGCATAAAATAGGCATAACATCCACATGCCTCTCTGAGTTGCTATCACTACTAGCCATCCACAAATCTGAAATTATTTAAATAGTAAACTTAAGTACTAACGGTTCTTAAAAATCAAGGAAACTAGTTAATAAGGAAAGCATTCAGCCTAGGAATAGCACGCGTTACAAATGAGTGCTAATGCCAACAGGGCAGGAGATGAAATTTATACCTGAATTGCATTCATAGTTTTGTAGAATCATAGAATATGCTGAGTTAAAAAGGACCCACAATGATCATGGAGTCCAATTCGTGTCCCCACGCAGAACACCCCAAAAATCACACCAGGTCCCTAAGAGCATTGTCCATACTCTTCTTGAACTCAGGTTTGGTGCTGTGACCATTTTCCTGGGGAGTCTGAGTTTCCCTCAGTTTAGAGCATGCAAGTGTCAGCATGAGGACATGTCAGCAGAGTGGTGAGCAGAGGGAGGCTGCCCATGTCACCTTGACCTGGCCACCATGGGAAGAAGTTCTGACACTTGTCTCTCCACCCGTGCTGAACTGTGGTTGTCAGCTGAACAATAGCTGACTAACACATATCTGAGGGATGTTAGAGGTGGTTTCCAGAACATGGCTCCAACAGTCTTGCCCAGGTCACATTTCTGGTTGCGTTTTGTTTTGGGCCTTTGTTTAGTAATCAGCTCTCATTGAGCATAGCACTTAAGCCACAGTGTTGTGTGACAAGTATTGGGGTGTGAAGCCTTTGGGATTAGAAGTCCCATACAGCTCCCCCAATTATTCATATGCCTGTGTGCCCATTGAAAAAGAAAAGCTTTTTGCTATTTTTTTAAATTGCTGTCAAGACCATTCCTCCCTTCTGTTCCAGCTCCAAGAGATCAGGAGCAGCAGCCAATACTCAGATGCTTGTTCAAGTCCTATCCTGCCACAGCCTGAAGCAAAGTGCTACGCCCCCACTGACTACTCAGCTTGACTCCTACTAACCTGCTGTGGGCAGGAGCATTAGCTCAATTTTTCAGTCCCCCTCTTACCCAAACTATGGAAGTGTTTCTTATTCTGCTGGGTCATGCATTCAAATGTGAAAATTGTGACTCATTAAAAGGGCAAGTTTGGGCAGGGGAAGGGGGTTACAGGAAGGAAGAAAAACAGCTTGGAAGAGACTTCCTGTTTATCCACAGCTTGGGAAAAAAATTGACACAACAGAATACACACACCCTGGCTCCATTATCTTTGCTGGCACAGTGATGGCTTGGCTCTGTCCCTTACCACTCAAGGCCAAATCCATCCCTGCCGCGAGCGTGTTTACTTTAGAGGAGTTTACTCAAGAGAGGAATCCGGTGCCCGGAGCCTGAATGCTCCCAGTGTGCGAGCAAACACACGGGCACCGGGAGCCCCCGCCACAATGCCACGGCCCTGGCCCCTGGCTGCATCAGGGAGGTCATTTTCTTCTCGGCAATTAGCAAAGTGGTGGCATCACTAAAAGAAGTTGAATAAACACATTCAGCCCAGCTGCGTTTCCCAGTTTGCTCTGTTCTCACCACTCTTCCTTCTGGGCGCATGGTGGGGCCCCAGCAAGCTTGGTGCCTGAGCACTGCGCTTTCATTCAGGTCTGGTTGGAAAGAGCTTTTAGGAAAGAGGAGGAGGGGGGAAGTAAGTAACCCTTTTGGCTTTCTTCTTTTACAACAACTGTCTTCTCTTTTTCTTTTCAGGGAGGAAAAATGCCAGCTTCTCTGAAAAAGCTGCAGCAAATGGCTATTTTCATGGGACTGTTCAGCGGCGGGGGATGCATCGTGATGTATAATCTTATGCAAAGTAAGTCTTGGTGTTGTTAGCAACCTTATTTCTCCTCTGCCCCTTTCACTGGCTTTTGTGTAGTGGGGAAAATAGCAGCATGCGAGTTGTGAAAAGCAGATGAAATTAAGGGAGGAGCTTCTGGGTTCTGTCTCTGTAGGCTCCACTTTTTTCCTCCTCAGGGGTTTTGCTCTCCCAAGAGCTGCTTATGTGCATTTCCAGAGGCACCTATTGCATAGGGAGCAGGCTGTTGTGGTCAGGAGAAAGTCTGGTTTTTGGGGGTTTCCTGAGGGTGATGGTGAAGAGAAAGCTTCACCTGCAGTAATCCAGATTTCATTTCTTAACTGAGATTTTGTAACTGGGCAGTAGAAGAGGACCATCTGTGAGAAGGTGTTAAAGTCTAGCAGTTTTATCTGTAAATCTCTGTGTGGTGCTGGCCCTTAAATACAACATACCTGTGAAGTGCTAAGAAATCATGAGTTTCTCCTGAATGAAGTACAGATAAGAGCAGTCAGCACTGAGAAGACCAGGACAAAGAGAAAAGCTAGACAGTTGATGTTGCTGTTTATATCTAGTTGTTTATTTCTAGTTGCTATGTGTCTTTGGCCAAGAATTCACATTATTAGACCAAATAATAGATGTTTATTTTTTCTAAAACTGCTTTTAGGTACTTAGCATCAGAGCAGAAATAAGCTTGGCCTCTCTCTCAGAGAGTGCCATAGGCCTCTTGGCCCTTTGCCTCTCCCTTGTTGGTGCTATCAAATGGTATTGCTTTTAACCTACCCAGATACCAGAGGATGCTGCCAGAAAAAAGTGTAGCCAAGCCTGTTTCTCAAGCCCTCAGATAAGCTCTGAAACCTCCCCTTCATTTTACACATATTAATAACAAATCAGACAGGGCTAGAAAGCAGGCTTTAATTTTAGGCAGCTCATGCCCCAGGCTCTGGAGTACCTGACAGAAATATGATGCTTATGCTGTAAAATATTGAATCTGGCTTTAACAAGGACATTAGCATTTTTTAATTTTCAGCTTCAGCACTGTTAGTCACCCCCTGTGCTACACAGCAAGCCTGAGGGCTGATTCCCCACATGCCTTGGCTGTGCAGTCAAGTGGCACGTTGCAATGGCTACTTCTGGCCCTCTTGTAATTTCAGTGGCCACTGAGCAGCTGCCTGATAACTCAGCCAGGCTGCTGAAAGGACATTTTCTGCAGTCAAGTGTGTCCTTCTCTATCCTCTAAACAGACACAGCAGCCACACTTAGAGCCTTCCTCCCTTGGCTCATGCCTGGGGCTATCCCAGTGCCTTCTGCCCAGTGCACAGAACTGGCCTGTACGTGACTAGTGAGGAGCGAGTGGCCTCCAAAGTGGTGGGAGCAATTGGAGAGGATCTGATCCCTTCCCTTCCCTTCCTTCAGGCTGAAGGGAAGTTTGCATGCATGTGGTCTCTGTGCAAGCTTGTACAAATACTCAGGTAATCCTATTTCTACTTACTCTCATCACCTCCACACCCTTCTCATGGAAGCAGTCTGCTCAGCCAACTCCAGCATGCTTTCAGCTCCCCTGCCAAAAGATGTGGGGACAAATGGATTAGTTGGGCATTTAATGTCTAATGCATGAGATGCTAACAAGGAACAGCTGAGAAGGAACACCAGGAAACTAGAATCCATTTCCCCTCCAACCTGCAAGATGAACACAACATACTTTTCACATAGTCTGAGTGGTTGTTTGCCATGATTTATAGGTACTAAAGGGCGAGCATGCTGCAACAGCTTTGGTTGGAGCTCCTTAGAATGTGCCAGGGGACACAGGAGGACCAACAAGATAACAGCCTAGCAAAGCTGTTTCTATGCCAACTGGATGCTGCCTGCTCACAGGGGATTGCCTCTAATTAGGGTGAGGGGGCAGCATCCTTCTGCCTCATGCTCCAGGATTAATACTGACAGGCAAGAGACCAATAAACAAACCTTATGCCTTTTTTTAAACCCTTTGAAACATGAAGGCAAAGTTGCCAGAGTAGGATTTGACAACTACAAACTCTTAGCTTAACTCTGCCCTTCTTGATGTCAAAAGAGTGAAGTTAAGCTGATATAGAAACCCCAGCAAAGCAGCCTTAAAACTGCTAATAAGCAAAGCTCTGTCTCCACAAGGAGGGTCAGGAAGTCTCCAGCTCTTCAGCTGTGGCCTGTCCATTAGTGACCACAGTACAGCGTTTCACAGAGCAACAAGTGTCCTCCATGAGCCAACACCGCAGCATCCATCTACAGTGCTGTTGTGGCTGCTTGACCAGTAACTCGAGTGCTGCTTCTGAGTGCCTCCCTCCTAAGGCATCCCTCAGCAGACTTGTAGCTTCATGGCTGCCACTTGGAAAGCTGTACCAAGACCACAGCTAGAGTTCCACAGCAGCAGGTGTTCGCCTCTCAATGTCTGCAAGATAGTCTCTATTCTTAAAGTATTTTATGTACCTCAAATAGAAAAAAAATAAATAGAATTTTTATCAGAATATTTCAGATATTCATCCTTATACCTTTTCTCGCCTTCCTTTTAGATAACCTACAAATGCATGAAAACAGGGGAGACACAGCCATAAGCTGAGCTGTAGATCAGAATGGAGCAGGACATGTTTAGAGCCCTCTTCACTTAATGAGCTGAATAACATTTTCTTCTCTGATGTAAGGGTGTGTTTCCTCCTTTAGCCAAATTTCTCCTAATTAGTAGTTTCGGACTATATTTCAGGGAGGGTGTGGTAATCTGGAGAAAATGCCTTTTTCTCTTTTTTTAAGCTTATGTTTTGATTTTAAGTAAAAAGTCTTCTCACTATCCTGTTTCTCTCACATAGAAAGTTTTGCCAGGACCCAGTATTACCAGCAAGCTTTGGAGCAACTGAACAGCAATCCTGAAGCCCTGGAAGCCCTGGGTGCCCCCCCTCTTAAGGTTCACAACATCCACCTGACAGATGGGAGCAATCGTGTGGACACAGAAAGAGCGCGGGTAACGCTGGGCGGGTGGTGTCACAGGGTGGCTTCCTGAGATGTCAGGTGACCAGATCAGCCAGGGGATTTTCAGCGGGTCATGAGTCACCTGGGGGCACTGGAAGGAAGCAGGATGGAATACCATTTGATCTGGAAGAGGAATGGATTTCCAGAGCATAAATCTCCTAGCCTAGAAACAGCAAGAGCAGCATCTCCCTGTTGTGCTGTATGGGCCCGTCACACAGTGCTGAGGAGCCTCTCAAGACAATCAGTTCCCCCCTCACATGGTAAAAGCCACAAAATCATTTTCAGAGACATATCATATCCAGCTTTAAAATAGCACCTGCCTTCCTTTACCCCCCAGATATGACCCATGCTAGTTTTTAGGGCTTTATTCAGAGCAGTTTTACAGCCTCTTACAGGCTATGCTGTGGTGCAGCATAAATGGTGTGGTTTTTAAGAGCACCTGTAAGTTTGTGTCATTGAGAGCAGCTGCCCAGCCCGAGACTGAGCATGATGGTTACTCAGTGACTGGAGAATGCTGTGCTGGCTGCTGAAGTATTGCACAAGGCTGCCTTGTATCAGCTGAGGGCTGGGCCCAGGCAAACCTTGCAAACACAAGTCCACTTCCACTTGGCATTAAAGCCCCAAGAGTACTTCCTATCAGTGTTTTTACCCCTTAATCCAGGACTGGCTGCCCTTCCCTTGTTTTGTTAGTAACACTGAGTGTTACTAGCAACCTCTTCAGGTCCTTCACTAGGGTAACTCATCACATTGGAATAATTTTGTTTTTACTGGTGAGTAGTTATGAATGCCAGGGACCAAGCAAGGGCATTAAGGAATGGGTCAGATGGTACAATGAAGGAATGTGACTATCAGGATAAGATGAAAAAAACCCCAACCTTTAACCAGATCACATAAAATTACTTTCCATTTCACTTCAGCCAGGCTGCACTTACATGATACCCTGGACCAAAACATTTCCTGCATTTTATATATTCCACCAGGGAACATATCTAAGGAAAAAAGTTGTGCAGAATCCCACACAGTCTTATATACTGGATGAAAAGAAGATAACCTTTCCCACGGGTGTTTTCCTATGTCACTGTTTAAGAATGCTGGCCACTTGGGTGACTCAGGGTGAAGTCAAACCCTGCCTTCTACTGACCTCACCCAAGACACTTTCTTCTCTACTTTTTCATGCTCTTAAGTATTCATGTTCTCATGAAATAAACTGGTTAATCATCATTATACCACAGGTCAATTTACAGACTTTACAACATTCCCAGCTCCTGGGTCTGTTGGCGAACACCTGGCATTGTCTCTGTGGTTGCATCACCACCAGCAAATGCTACACCTGAATAATTTCTTTTATTCAGACATTAGACCCAGTGCAATTGGCCATGGTTGCTGCTGCAGCTCCAGCTTTGCTTGTTAAACAGATAAATGATAAAATTTGTGACACCAAAAAAAAAGAATCACTGAACATCTCATTACCTCAGTGTGTGTTAAGGGACTGATAAGCAGAGGATCTCAACCTACAGGCTAGTAATGGTTATGGGAAGCTCTGACAGTTCAGGTCACCTCTGGATGACCATACATTCTGGTAAGGAAAGGTGTTTGCTCATAAATATTTCAGGGAGCCAGTGGTTTTCCCTGGGGGTTGCAGCTGTAACACAGCACATTCTTTGGCAGAGAGAGATTAATGCATGGTAGAGCAGACATACTTGTGTAGCCACATACACGTGTTAGCTGTTAGAGTAGATCAGTCAATTTCTGAAATACAGTAAAAAAAAAAAAATTAAAAAGGTGTGAGCTCTTTGACTAGAAGAGGTAAAGGTTGGTTTCATAATAAGCTTTTCTGAATCTTTAATGTTCTTTCATATCTGCAGATAAAGTTACCGGTCTCTGGAACAAAATCGGCAGGTTACCTCTACATTAACTCAAAGATGGACCACTCCCGTCAGTGGTGCGTACTGGGGGGGTAACAGGAGAAATGGGAAAGTGGTAGGAGAAAAGAGTAGTGCAGCATATTTGCTTTAGTCATCCATGGTGCTGAGGTCATGCACACAAGTCAAGCAGAAACTCCTGTCTGAAGGTCTTGTCAAAGGTTATTATTTTCATTAGGACAAAAATGTAAGTTAGTTAAGAAATATTTTGAATCCTTCTCTCTGAATATGAATAGAAGAGGAACATGAGCCATTCCTGTTTGTTAAATGTGTTCTGCAAACTGTAGCTCAGTACATATCCAAATACTGTGAGCCAAGGTAAAGTATGGTCCCCTCCCACCTCACCTGCACAGAGGTGCAGAGGCTGTTGAGCAGCAGTCCTCACTCTGGTCTGGTATTACAGACTGCAGTAAGGGAATCACACACTGTATCACAGCTGTGCAAGGCAAGCTGAAAGCACAGGATTTGTTTTTCTAAGCTATCCAAGAACTGTGGTCCTTATGGTTAAAAAAAGTGCTGGAACAGATGCATTATAGTAGAAGGGTGCTCTAATACCATATAATATAGAAGTGACTTTACATTTTTGTAATACTGAAGCCTGAAGACCTCCTTTGTCAACAGTAAACTGGTTTTTGGATCTGAGCAAAGAATTACTACATGAACTCAAAAGTTTTACTAGATGCAAACCTCTTGTTAGGTACTTTTATTAGCTCTGTTTATAAACCAAAAGCTACAAAACTTTTACTCAACTGCCACCAGCCATATGGTGATGTTTTCTATTCATAATTAGAATTACTGGATTTCTCTTCTAAGTGTGGGGAGGAAGAGACAGGCACTAGGCTGGGACTTGAGAAACTCAGTACTGGATCTGGCCTCCTCCCTAATAAACAGGGATAACCCCAAGGGTCCCCGGCCCCATTTCTTGCACACCTCACTTGCCTGGTGCCTGAGCTCTGATCTCCTCACTCCTCGTTAGCCTCTCCTCACAGATAATTCCCTGTTATTCCTTGTTCACAGTTACTGTGAAGGTAACTGAAGATTGCAAAATGCAAAACTCCAAGAAATGTATACGCACTACAGCAGTGCATACACATTTCTTGGAGTTTTGTTTTAAAGTGAGCTCTTTTAACACTTCTGCAAATCTAAGGAAAAGAAAAGGCATCTGCTTGTAAAAGGATTTGTGGCAGATAAATCTGTCAGACTCCACCAAATCCACCCACGTGCAGGGTCCTGTGCACAACTTCACATGGGGCTGAGACAGGACTTGGTGCCCTTGCATCCCACTGAGGAACTAACAGTAAAATGGCTGGGAGTAAGGAGCAGATAAGCAGGCCATCCTGATGGGATGCTGCAGAGTTCATGTGCGCTTTTCCAGGGCATCTCTCACACTGATACAGACAGAGCTCAGTGACACCTGGAGTTGAGTGCTCTGTGCAAGAGTAGCTGAGGCACCAGAGCCACTGAAACGCATCTGACTGAGTGTGCAGACTGTCTGTAGTGTTTTATTTCTTTTATAAAAGAGAAGACAACTGAAAAAAAAATTTTGAATCTTTGAGCTCCTTTGGTCCAGAGGGAAGTGGCATTCACCAGAGGCAGGCAGTACAGGGATGGGGAGGGTGCCCAGAGCCAAGGGCAGCCAAGGCACTGCAAAGTTTCTCTTGTGTACCCTTAAGTGACCAAGGGAAGAACTGAGCCCCAGGCCACACTGTGGGGAACAAGCAGGTCACCCCCAAGTCCTGTTTCTTGGCCTGGGTTGGGGGTGGGAGCAGAGGGCTGCTGAGCAGAGCCCTACTGCAGACCCATTGCACAGAGGTGCAGCAGCCTAATTACTTAATTGTATGTACTCAGCACTGACTCCAGCAAAAGCAGAGCTGGGCCAGTGCCAGGAGCTTTTGAAAATATCCTATTTTAGTACCCCAAAATAATAGTCCTTTCCAGCTGGAAAAGCAGCATGAGCAGTTTCTCAGAAGTGGGTTTGGAGCAGAGCTTAGAGGAAGGAACAGGCTCCCCCTCAGTCGCCAACAAATGCAATTTTCCTTCTTAGAGTAACCACTGTTGTACCCTGTCAGGTTTTCAGCAGTCACATTGAGCGATCACACAGTGTTCAAACTCTTCCAAGCCAGAATAATTCCTTAGCAACACTGTCTGGCTCCAAGGCTGGAGAGGAGTGGAGCAAGGAATGCACCCGCAGGACAGAGAGGAAAAAAGGCACCAGGTCAGGGAAGGAATGTCCTAAGAAGAGCTGGCAGGTTTTTATTTGAATTGCAACAAATAGGAACATGCATATCAGAGCTTAAATTCTGGGCTATGCCACGATATTAGGGAGACCAGTTTTCAAAAGCTGGCACTCACAAACCAAGTTTTAAAACACTTGAGAGAATTTTTAAAAGCACCGAATGTGTGGAATTATTTGTTCCTCCGAGCCAGCTGTTTCTACACTGACTTGACCATGTTAAAAGTGATTGCTACAAGTTAAAAATCTTCTTTGGTTTGCGTCAGCTGGTGCCTTCAGGATGTCACCTTGAAACTGCGGGATGGTCCGAATATTCCCATTTACCACTCTCCAGTGGAAAGCATTGGTGTGCAAGAAGGCTAAAAATCAGGGACAGCTGCATCTCCGCCTCCCATTGAGCCAAAGGAGCCATTAATCGATTGCATCCTGCTGTGTCTGTGAATGTACACAGTTGTCACAAGTGACAGTTTCACTTAAGCGGGTGCTCTCAAGACAATTTTCTCTCTAAGATTTACCTCATTATTGTTGTAATTGTAATTTATTTCTTTTGCTGTCTTATTCACGTGTTTAACAGAAGTCTAAAATAAATATCTTGCAAAAGAGTTGCTGTTGCAGAGAAGTCATGTGTTATGCCCTGTGTGTGCTGGTATTATGAATTTGAAATAAATAAACTGCCAGGAAACTGAGCTTTGTTTTACAGTGGACCAAAGTCAGGACAAGTCAGTTTCTCAAAGCTTTGAGAAGCCTTGCTGCCTCAGTTCCTCCCCGTTTCTCAACAAGGTCTTGCCTAAATCAGGAAGGATGAAGCAGCAAAAGTGAAGCTCAGCAGCAGCACCCACTTGTCAGGTAGATTTGGACCCACTCCACTTATCAGGTGGATTTGGACCTTCACAGTTATCATTACAAAGCTCATGAGATAGCTGAGGCCACTCAACTTAGGAATTTCAGGAAGAGACCTGCTGCTCACACTGAAGGTTACTCAGAAGAAGCCACTGCTTCACACCAGCACTGCCTGACGAGTTTGGAGAGGACATTTAGGGAGAAAACCATTTAGGAGGGTGCAGAACAGATGAAGGCATTGCTGTGGTTTCCTCTGACTATGACAAGAGGTTTTGACTGTGCCATCAGGCAGAGAATTTCCCATCACTAAGCAAGTTGAGGAATAAGCAAAACCCCCCAAACTAACAAATAAACATCCCAAACAATTTCTAGTCCCATCCCAAACTGCCCATGCAAACAATTGCAAAACCTACAACACAGTCTGAGGGACAAAAAAAAATACAAGTAACTGTCCTGTCTGTAGCAGGAAGTAACACAGGAGCCCTTAAGAACATCCAGACAAAAGAGTGTTTTGAATTCACTGTAATAGAGATGTTTAATCTCTAGATTAAGAGCGGCTGTAGCTAAGGATAGCCCAGAGCTTATACCACTCCATTCTCTGTTCCTCACCTCTCCATCTCATCTTCCAAATTTGAGTCCAAGAAATCCACCAAGGACAAAGGCACTGTAAAGCTTTTCAAGAGCCATGAGTATTAGATAGAGAAGGGAGAGCTAGAGCAAAGAATTTTTAGAGAACAGTGAGCATTTCTTTGTTTAACAGCGACCCAGCAAACTGGGCAAGGTGGCTTTTGGACAAACCTGAAAAGCAAATGCGTAATTGGAAAAGAGATGCTAATGAACCACAGCAAAGGCATCTTGGAGAAACAGTTTTGGAATGAAACAATACATGTGTGCTTTAGTTTGAACTTGACAAAGAGCTGTCAGGATGAACAGCACTTGTGACACCTGAGCCAACCCACATGAAAGCCCTGCACGCAGGGGAGAGGATTAGAATTAAAGACAGCATTGCCCACCTTTAAGATTGAAATTGCTGTTTACTGGTTTCACAGAACAAAATACAAGCCAAATCAAATTTCATATGATATGAAAATATTAGCCTTGCACTACCACTAGCAAGAACAACACCTCAGGGATATGGAAATCTGCTGGCCACCTGGTGCCTCAGAGCTTGATTGACTCTAGCTTTTGGTCACTGAAGAAGTTTGGTGGGAAATCAAACAGCTGACAATAGAAAGCCAAGACAGCCACTTCCCATCCATCAATTACCACTTCCTTGGCTGCAGCTTTGATTTGTTGCTAATCTGCAAAAATACCATGGCTGTGGAGAGAAACCCCAGCCTGTTCAGTCCCTCCCTGTGACTGCACTGGGAGCATCTGGCACACATTGCCATTTATCTGCCTTTTGTCACCTCTGTGTGCTCAGTAAGCCTGGGACCTGCCTTGGCTGCAAATTCCTCAAGTGTCCAAGAAATCTGGCCACAGCCACCCCAGTTACAGCACAGCACTTGCTCACCATCTCCCTGTCCTTGGGCTGGCACACACAGCATCCCCATGCTGCCGTCACAAGCTGCTGCACCACAACACCACTGCCTGGCCTGTCTCCAACCCCGGATTTTCCAGGCCTGGAGGAGTTATCCCCACACAAACCTTACAAGGAACACTGGGGATTTTATTACCTTGCCGGGGGGAGGCACAGCTTGCAAAGAGGCTCCATCTCTCATTTTCTCCCTTGACCAGCTTTGAGGGCTGTCAGTCATCTCACCAACCCATTGGTTCCCCAGAGCTTTGAGAATGGGTCATATCATATCATATCATATATCATACCAATGGTTCTCTTAATCAAATCTTAAACCCAGAGAAGGAGTAAAGCAATGGGTGCAGCTGGAAGCCAGCAAATCAGTGGGAGGGGACAAGTAAATCCACAATTCCCTGCCTTTGTTTTACTACCTAATAGCCAGAGAACACAGAATTTCTTGCCTCATGACCTTGAAGAACCTCAGAAGTCACTTCCTCTCCATGTTTGAGCTCTTTTAAGATGCACATATTCAAAAGGAGAAAAAAGCATCAGACTGGTGTGTTCAGTGCCAAGCAGCTTTGGCCATGTGGCTCCCATTAAATACATCACAGCCCAAGGGGGCTGCTTTTACAGAGGACACAGGTGCAGCAGGAGCAGCCAAGGGAGCTGGAACAAGCCAGGAAAACAGGGAGAGCAAATTTCTCAGAACTACCAGCAGCTGCTGAAAGCCTACATAACTTCAAAAGGGCACCTGGGCACCCCTCTTGCAGTCTTTTCTTCTGATGAGCACTGGAGCAAGATTAGGTTCTCTTTAGTTTCATCATGCCATGGAAACTCTGGTTTCTTTGGGGTTTTTTTTTTCTTTTTTTTGGTTTGTTTGTTTGTTTGTTTTCTTTTTGAGAAAATCTTTATCCTTTGAGAAAAGGCCCTGGATCCCACAAAACACTTAAGGCTGGGAGGAACCTTGGGAGATAATTTAGTCCAAGTGCTTCACTCCCACCAGAGTCAGCTTGAACAGATTGCCTGAAAGCATGTCCAGTCAGGTTTTAAAGATCACCAAGGATGGAGACTCCACAACCTCTGGACAAGCTGTACCAGTGTTCAACCACTCTCACAGTAAAGAATTTTGAATGCTTGAGGGTGTGCTGACTGTCTCTTGTCCTGATACTAGACACTGCCAAAACAAATCTGTCTACTTTCTCTTTACTATGCCCCCACACTGATCCCTCCCCAATCCTTCTCCAATTCCAGGTCTCTCAGCTTCATTAACAGGAGCTACAATCCTTTAACCATCTTAATCATGTTGATTATGTTAAAATACTTCTTTTTAATTGGCTTGAAAATTTGTGCAGTTCCTTTTCCAGTTTTTGGTGTGGTTAAACCAAACATAATCTTCATGACCTTTGCTGGATTGCCTGTTTATTTCTTATTCTCTAGTTTGATTTTAATAGTTTCTGCCAGGCAGTAATCACCCTCAAGGAAACTACCAAGGTGGCAGACTGTTCAGGGCAAGAATTTAATTTACAGCTGAGGAACAGCAGATACTGCTCAGCACTCTTACAGCACTTGCACCTATTTGAGTTGGAGCTGATGGGCACACAGAGGCTCTGTTTTGAAAAACAAAAAATCTAGATGTTTTGAAAGCACTGCCGTCAGAAAGGCTAAGTGGCTGACATGTTGCCTTTGGAGTATGTTTCTCCAAGGGGTGATAGAATTTTGTCCAAGTTATGGGCCACTCAGTTCACTTCCTGTTTTGAGCAGATGTCGTGCACTGCACAGGGAACACAAATTATTTTGATTCATCTCCCATTTAGAAATGAGGATACATCCAGTTCTTTCCTGCCATGTGCTGCATCTTTCCTGTTTGTCAAAGACATCTTTCCCGAGTTTTCCACAAAATTTACTACCAAGTTTCCTGCAGCAGGCCCTGGGCAGTCCTGTAATATCAGCAACAATGAAGACCTGCCTGCTCTTGATGTTACTTTGGAAGATATATCACACCTGGCCAAACGCCTTTGGTTCATTTGAAGTAGCACTAATTCCATAAAAATACTAGACTAACATAATTTCTTGACCAATCTAAGGCAGTTTCTATTAATTTGCTTTCCTAGAAGATCTAGGAGCAAAGGACCTTAATTCAGTAACTTCTGAGAAACAATCATTGTCTCTCTTTGCTTGGTAAGGCCCACAACCTTCCATCCAGCAGCCAGACCAGCTGCATCTCACAAGGTGCTACTGGAAAGTGGAAGATGCTAAGTGATATCCTGACTTCTCTCTGAGGATTAGTTAAAAAACACCTGTGTAATTTAGTCTGTATGCTGGCATTGCAAATTAATTGAAGAGGTGAGGTACACTGATTTCAACGCCTCACCGACTTAGCTTAGTGATTCTACTTTTACAAGCAAGCAAAGACTCAATGTAATTAAGTTCTGTGTTTACAGGAAAAAAGATAATCCTTTCAAGTAGTTCCCTTTCCTCTCCTAATTTTGCAGTAATGACTCTGGTCCTATATATTCTGCTTTACTTAGACAAATACTATCCTTTTTTTAATTAGGAGAGATTTTTATCATATCCATCTGTACTTCCTTTTTTTTCCCCCTGACTGTTTTTATTCATCCAAATGGCAGCTTAATTCAACATCTGTACCGTGAAGAACTCTACAGTGGAAGCATATTGCTTTAGTACGGAAAACTCATGATGCATTTTATATTTGTTGCACATATTGAACAAATTTGTGATTCAGAAAACTAAAATACCAGTAATCCTGCTAATGGGTGTTTCCGAAAGCAGAAAGAACAAAAGACCCATCAGCTGTTCAGAAAACAAAATTTAATTTATTGTAAAGTTCCTGAAACAGTAAACACTTTATCAGAAGTACAATGAACTGGCACTATTTCTTTAAAACATTGAACTGTCTTCCAGGAACACCTGAAACATTCAAGGGAGATCTTAAGCCACAAAGTAAAGTGATGCAAGGCCCTCTTCCCTCCCCATCCCTTGTGAGTACCACCAGTGGAGAATGGACAGTGAACTTTTATTTGCATTTGTGACCTAACAGCTCCCAAGAGAGACTCAGGAGTAGATCACACTTTTGTATTTAGAGACCTGCACATGAAAATGTTAAACATGAGGCAAATCACAATGCAAATTCCACTTTGGACAAAAAGAAAAATACTGTTTTGTAGAACATTTAATTTAGCAACTATAAAACCTATAAGCTTCTCCCTTAAAGAGGTGAATATGGCA